GCGGCCCGGCCTGCGCAACTGTTCGGCTGTTCGTGAGGCTGTACCAAAAGCAGCTGATTGATGTCCGTGTGCTGTGCTGCGTTGCGCCGTTTCGTTGGGCCGGTTGAAGCCCACGCCCATCTCTGAATCATGCAGGGGTACTGCGCTTGAGAGTTCATTTCGCGATGTTTAGCCGGACATGTGTGAGGCATGCCCTCGCCGCTCAAGTCTTCAGCTCATTTGCCACTGCATGCTACAGGGGGGTGGACCTTACGTGCTTTTGAGAGGGGATGGCGAGCGCGGAGCAGTGCTTGCATGATGCCAATAGCAACTTGACAGTTCAACTAGTCAACTTCTCAAGTTTAGCGGATACGTCGCTGACAAGTGCGTGGACGTGCGTTTCATGTGAGAGGGCATGCTTTCCCTTGGTTTGATGGTGCCCCGACATCGGATGAGGAAGCTGGCGCTTTCGGGTGCCAAAAGGTTCTCCTCTACGACTCTGCGCCCAGCGGAAAGACCGCTTCCCGGGCTGAAACAGGGGACCAGCTTGGCTGCGTCATTCTGTGACTTTCAAAGGTGCCTTCACTTGCCGATGCTGAGTCGCTACCCAGGATGAGATGCCAGAAGCGGAGCAAACGGGTTAAAATGAGAAGCTGATGTTTCTTCCAATTGAGCAGGTTGCATGCAACTGCGCTGTACTGTACTTGCATGTCGTTTTTCAGAGAGGGATTTTGTCAAGAGGATGGCTGACTAAATTTCAACCTTGGTGAGGATCAGTCATATGAGCATCCGTCAAGACTTCCGTACTTGTAGTTAAGAGCAAGGTGGTCGTGGAATGTCAGATTTGGCCAGAATCTCAACAAGTCTCATCTGGCCAAAACTTGGCCGGTTGGACGCTGTGCTACTGCTCGTTTTATTCGTACCTCAAAGCATCCACGGCATGAACTGAGCCTCTCACAGCTCAGGTTTCACAAAGCGTTCTAGTTGCCATGATGACGGTCGTTGGTGCCAGACATGTGTCCAAGCGGCATGTGGGGATTTGCGTTCGTCGGCCCCTTCACTACGGGATAGACAATCGTTTTTGTCAATGAGCCGCTCACCTGGAGCTCCGCAAGTGTTCCTTGACACAGACCAAGGCTGTGAATCCGGAGGGAGAGTATGACTTCCCCCTTATGCAAACGACATTGATGATCTCCGTGGCGATGTATTTATAGAAGCTGAGATTCGCGAGAATTTTTTTGAAGTCAGAATAATTACCTCAAGCATTGGTCCTGGATGAAACATGATGAAACCTTCAGACCTCGGGGAGAGCGGTGAGGGTCATGCTTGCTGAAAACTGTGAGGGACAAACCCGTGCTCATATGCAAGTTGGTGCGAGTTTGAAGCTTTTGCCGCATATGTTCTACTGGAACGATTTTGAATCATAGCATCTATGATTGTGTTTATGAGTTCTGTCTTGAGGCATCTTTGATTGGTTCTCATCTCGGAAGCGACAGAATGGCGCCCTTTCATATTGCAAGACACCACGCACTCAAATCACACATGCCCAGAAAGCATATCGCCGGAGGCCCCATTCTGTGGTATTTGTATTGCATTAGAGTGGCATTAACTCCGCTACACAGAAACATGACGACCAGAAAGAGCCCCAACCTCAATCATTTTGCTGTCCACGGGTTTGCTGACGAAGCTTCGGGCATGCACAACGTGGCTTTGCACTTACATAGGGTACTTGACCGTAACCCCGTTTCTGGTGCTCAGCGCCATCATCCAGATCCTGGTGGATCTGCTCCTAGGTCCTGGCTGTCTCTTTGGTGTGCTTTTGAGAAGTTTTACATTTTAGAGATCCGCTTGTTTGGCTCGAATGGAAGCTCGTTAGATCGGGGTCGTGACCGCTGTGACCGGACAGAGACAGCTTTGCCCAAGTCCGTTGCAGCGGCTATTGAAAAGGATGTTACTAGACGTCATGAGGGTGCGGGGTTGATTTTTTTAGCTAGCTACAGATTAGGTTGGGTTCTTACACAGAGGGCCCGAATTGGAGTACAATGCTTTCGGTGCATCCTGCAGTTAGCAGCCGACCGGGATGCTGGCAATTTTTCAGCCCAGGTGCGAGCAACACCCATGTGTTCGAAAGCGGCAGCTTGTTTGTCCTTCACGTAGACAGATATTCGTTGGACCATTTGGAGCATTTTGGAGCCCTTTGAACAAGCAAGTACAGAAGTAGAGTTTCCGCGCAGCCACACGGTCCACCGTTTTTGCGTTGCCATACATAAAAGCAGTCATATGCGCTGACGTATTGGATGGGAACTCAGAACACGAAGCTTGACAAAGTCATTTGGTGCGTCATCACATCAGAAAGGGCACTGGCCTATGCTAAGCATCGAAGGGCTGGATCTCAGTACAGCGCCGTTGAGCAGAGCATTTTGAGATGGCATTTCTCGAAGTCATGCCACATTTGGCTGTTTGCCAAGCCCTTCTCCCTTTTTTGCTTCGTGACCGGACGAGCCTAATGCGGTGATGACATATATGTCTTTTGTTTTTTTGCTTTGCACTTAAACGGTCAATCCTCTTGTTTTCCAGCTAAGTTCAGACTTGAAGGCTCGGCGAGGGCCTTGCAGGGAGGATTTCGAACGCTTCAAGTAACCGATCCAGCTCTTTTGAAGCAATTCTGTCTCCCCTGGGTCAGGTCTTGATAACATGGGTGTCCGAGCATTTCAGCAATTGGGGGCCTTCGGCGGCCTCAACATCCAAACACATCGCGCGTCAAGCTTGCTTTGGGCAGAGCTGTCGCTTTCTTTGCATTCCCCCCTTTCCCGTCTTAAGGCTATGAAGTTCTGTAGTTGCGTTCCGGTGAGCTTTCATCACTCCTGAAATTCCTAGCTTACCAAGTTTCCAACCAGTCTGAAATGTAATAGCTTTGCTCAGCGCGAGTGGACCGAACATGGTGGCTTCCACGTGCACTTGACTTGATGAGGAAGAAGCTGAGAAGGAAGAAAAGAGCCGATCTCTCTCTTGCTGTGAAGGTATGCGTAAGGGTCCATGCAGGACGTCAGCTCGCAGGTCAACATCTGCTGTTTGAGACATTGATGATGCAATGCTGCCTTGATTTGCATGTCGCTTTGGAGGTTCAAGCAAGACATGTTGGTTTACACGGCATGATTCTTTCAGTTTCAGGAGCAGGCACATCTCTCTTTCGCAACATGGAGGACGGATGCAAACCTGTAAATTGCACGATGCGTTCAAGTGTAACTCTTAGCAAGATCGCCAGCATTCGCTTGTAGCCCGCCGCTTGGCTAGACCCTAACACCCGAGCCTCCCTTGGTTTCCAGCATGGCCGGCCGCGATGCGACGTTGTGCCTGACGTGGCTGCAACAGCCATCTGCTCATGCCATCACCGCTGCAATCCTCGTACTACGCCTGACGATCCCACAAAGATGCCAGCACCTTCCCTAAGTGTAAGCGAGCATCGATCCATAAGCCGTGCCGAAGCTGTGTCAATCAAGAGCGAAATGGCCGCTCGCCCCCGCCTCGTATCTTAGAGTTCCATCTTCCAAAGCACTGCCAGTTCCAGCTTAGCGTCTCCACTACCGCGAGGCCTGTGCCTGCAAAACAGAGGCCAGCCAGCTGGTAAGCTCTCCGGGTTGAATGGAGTGGGATCCCGGGGCTGCTTTTGATGTAGCTTTCTATTCCACACTGAGGAGCTCCGGTTCAATCCTTTTCTGGCCTGTGCTTCCGGCGGTAACAGGATGCATTCGATCGCTGCATCACAACGTGAGCTCGGCTCTGCAGTGCCGAAGCCTCCTGAGAATCAGCGTCCCAAGCAGTCGTCGCCAAAGTTCGATTCGCCCGGCAGGGCTGTCAGCACTTGCTGCAGCCGCATGGTCATGTCACTGTTGAAGCGTCGTCTCGTCGTCTCGGTCCTGTGAGTGTTCCTGGTCCTAATCCAATGCATGATCCCTTCCGGCCGGGCGTGCCGGCCGGCTTCAATCAGCCGCTGCATTTGGACACTGCATGCTGTCACATTACTCCAGGCAGAACGTGCAGACATGCACGCAGGGCCCGTCAGCTCGTTCGCTCGAGGATACCATGGAGATGCATTGCGAGGAACGTATGCCGCGCTGTTTGCCGGAAGGTTTTAGTGTAGGATCAGGCTGCCACAACAGGCCGCTTGCGTCTTCTGCCCAGGCCCAAGTTCTCGGGGTGACCTTGCGAATCGACACGGACGACCTGCAGATGGCACTTTCTGAGTTCTCGTTGGCGGTGGCGACAGCACGAATACACTGTCGACATTCGATGCTGATCGGAGCATCAGGACTGCAGCTTCGCAATGTGACCCACAGAGCTTCCATGAGAAGGGTTTTCCAAGCTTTAGGAGTCGTTGTTGTGCCACTCACCATGGATCCGTGCACCGGGTGCCTCAGGCCTTAGGCAACACAAAGCCGCCCGGCGGCTCACGTGATCTCCGGGTCACCGGCGGCACCGGCCTGGTACCTGAGACCAGCTTCTAGACTCTAGAGGTGCTCCACCTCTCGACTCCGATGCCGCAGCTCTCACGTCTCAGTTCCCCAACGAGACATCGCGGTGAACGCGACCGCCAGAGAGGCTCTAGCACACTGCATCGACTCTGCAGTGCTCCGTAACGCAGGCCCTCAGCGAAGACTGTGTGCACCGGCTTCTCGCCTGCGGAATGCTAGTGGTTGAAACCCCGCTGGATTGCCACGTCCAATCTCAACTTGGTTCTTGATCTGCTGCGTTTGCACTCAGGGGCAGAGCCATCACTTCTGCTGCTGCTGCCGCCAGCTTGACTCCGACACATGGCTACGAAGATCCGCTGAAACTCCGTCTTACTCTGGGTGCCCACGCTCAGGCATATGACTTGAGAGATTTTGCCCTTCCAGTCACTTGGTAGCCGCAGCTCAGGAGGTCAGAAAGCACCGAGAGGCTTGAATCTGCCGGCGGCAGAGGGTTGTTGCATGGGATTTGCATACCTGTGCCTGTGGTAGTCTTCCGGTCTGAGGCACCCCATGCCACATGTGCCACTCTCATGCGGTGCTTCCGAGGGCCGAACGAGACTGAGACTTCTCACCGGAGCGCTCCAAGCGTTCCCCAAGCGTTCCACCGACACGGTGATGGCGTCCTTTGCCCTGGCGGCCCTGGCGGCCTGTGAGCCTGCTCAAAGGACGCAGAGGTGCGCTCCGTGCTCCCCGCCTTTTCGTGCTGTGAGGGAGCGGCCGGGGGGGGGCCGTGGCCCGCGGTTTGCGGAGCTTTGCAGCAACCGCCTCATACAGTATGCCTTCCTCCAGCAAAGCGGACACTGCTGGCACCTTAGCACAGCAGTCTGAGGTCGGGGAAGCAATTCGAAGGCCAGACCTGACGGCAGGCAGTTCCTGGACGACGTCTCCAACTTTAACACTCGGGCTTGTTCTTTCTCTTCTGCTTGCAACACTTGGAAATTGAAACCGAGTTGAACGGCCCGAGTTGATTGATGGCCCAACACGGCACAACGATGTCTGGTTCATGAAAGAAACAGGTACAGGCTACAATGTTTTCCTGCTAAGCGACCATGTCTCCTGGCATCAGGACATACACTGTATCCATCTGCATCCACTAGTCAGCTCGCTTCGTAGAACGGCCCAAAAAGGGCTTTGAGGTGGGCAGGCAGTTCGTGGCCAACATCTCCAACTTTAACACTCGGGCTTGTTCTTTCTCTTCTGCTTGCAACACTTGGAAATTGAAACCGAGTTGAACGGCCCGAGTTGATTGATGGCCCAACACGGCACAACGATGTCTGGTTCATGAAAGAAACAGGTACAGGCTACAATGTTTTCCTGCTAAGCGACCATGTCTCCTGGCATCAGGACATACACTGTATCCATCTGCATCCACTAGTCAGCTCGCTTCGTAGAACGGCCCAAAAAGGGCTTTGAGGTGGGCAGGCAGTTCGTGGCCAACATCTCCAACTTTAACACTCGGGCTTGTTCTTTCTCTTCTGCTTGCAACACTTGGAAATTGAAACCGAGTTGAACGGCCCGAGTTGATTGATGGCCCAACGCGGCACAATGATGTCTGATTCATGAAAGAAACAGGTACAGGCTACAATGTTTTCGCATTCCAGTGACTCTGCTAAGCGACCATGTCTCCTGGCATCAGGACATACACTGTATCCATCTGCATCCACTAGTCAGCTCGCTTCGTAGATGTTTGGGCAGCCGGTCATGTGCGCTGCACACTGGGTAATATCACTCCTTCATTGTGCAGGGTGCTGCCAGGATGTCCGACGTGCGCATTTCCGTCTGATCGATGTCCTTCGATGTCGCACGCATGTTCCGCCAAACCAAGTTTCCGCCGTGGGGTTCAAGAGCTTCTGCGTGAGGAGTGCAGTGAGCCTGCACAGCACAAGACTGGGCAATGTCGTTCGCTTCCTCCGCAGCCACTTGCGCTGGGTCACACTGGAGGCAGATGCGGGCTGTTGCCGACATGTGGTTCGTCCCATGATATAGTCAACTCCACCGCGGACTAACGCACCATGTCAGACACGTCCAGAGAGCTTAATCATCGTGCATCCACAACGTAAGACGAGGACAATCTGAGCCACTGTCGCTCTGCATGCATTGGCCTCCCAATACCAGCCTTAAGCTGGTCCAGGTCCTTGGTCGCGAGGGGCTAAGGGCTCACAGTTTACCGATGCATACGGATGCAGGCCCGACAGCGGAGGTTGTGGGAGGAGCAGCTGACAGAGCGGGACTGAACACTCGCAGTATGACTCGCACGTCTATGTCGTGTGGAGTCTTCGCTTTCTCAGAGGCTCTGAACATTCATTGGCTGCAGTGCGCCGCCTAGACCTCCATGAGAGATTGGCTCGAAGCTTCCAGCTTCTCAAAGCAGACTTGAAGTGCAACAAGGGATCCTGTTCTGCCTTTGCCTTGGCCAGCACTGTCTGCTGAGCCCCCTGCTAAAGACATCTAGCCTCCAACTTTGAGCTGGATGAGCTGGGAGACTCTCATGTCCGATCGAAGCCCACGGCGGCGAACGTAATGCTCTGCTGCCGCGAGCTATGCCAGGGCTGTCCCAGACTGACCTCACATAAAGCCCCCTCCACCTTTTTCACGTCGAGCCCTTCGGCAGCCGTGCTCGTGTGTCGAAGACAAATCCGGGGCCGAGTCTCCGGTTCCCACGCCGAGAGAGGACGCTTGGAAGCTGCAATGCCACAAGGCCCATGAGGTGCTAAGGATGTGCAGTCGACCAAGGCTCGAGCATCGGGGGTTGGGGAAGTTGTCGTGCCAGCAAAAACGTCCCATCACCAAAGTTGGCCGTGGTGGCTGCTTTGCGATGCAGATAATCTGGAGTGCCGAGGGCAGACCAGGCAGACTGAGAGGCCGCTGAAGCCTTTGGAGCTTCAGGCAAGCTTTGCCTGCAAAGCGCGATCTCGCGTTTGCGTTTGAGACAAGGCATGCTCGCTTGCAGATGCCCGCGGGCCATCGGATGGCAATGGTGGCCGCCTGCCGAGTTCGCATCTGCCGCCGTGCAGCTGGAGTGCCATAGACCAGAGGCTCTGCAAAAAGCGACTCTAGCACCGACTTCAGCGCCGTGCAGCCCGTGCGGTCCTGCATGCGACCTCCACCTCATTCTGGACTTTCACCGCTTCTGCCCTGCCTTCCCAGCAGCCTGGGCGTGCTCATGTTCTTCGTTGCGGTTTGGAGCACCTTTGCCGGCCGTGGGCCGACGTGGTTTTGGGACAGCCGGAGCTAGAGCTGTAAGTTTGACTGGGCGCCGAGCGCATCCCCGCTAAGACGTTGATACCACAGACGCCGGAAGGCGCCCGCAGGCAACGGCAGGGGCAAGATGGCCTGGTAATGGAGGGTCGTTTCTACAGGTCTTCGATGGTCTTAAGGGTCAGGAGACGTTTAGACTCGTGGTAAAGGCGCCTCTAGTGGACTTATAGGTCTGGTGTGTCTGGTGTGTGGCCTCGGGTCAGCAGCACATCATTGTCAGCACTTTACAGCAAGAAATGTGTGTTGCGCTGCAGCACAGGAGCCAATGCCCGTTCTGTGAGGTTAGGTCTGCAAACGTAAGCGTGGAGCCGTGGAGCTGGGTGCAAGGCTCAGCGCTGTGAGGCGGATGCGCACCAGCCTTTGAAACTTTGAGCACTTCCAATCGAGCTAAGGTTTCCAGGTCCAACTGGGTGATTAGACTTGTCTTGCCCTTTGTGACCGTGGTGTGCCACAAGCCGTGCCCCTTTCACCCATTTTCAGTCGCTGCACCGCGTAGGCCAGCTGTGTCTGTGGCGAGACCCAGCTTCCCTTCGCGCGGGGATTCTGAACCGTCTGTTTTTTGTGTGAGAATTCAGACCCTCTTGTTGGATCCTCTTTTGATACTGGCTTGTCTGGGCATTGCCATAGACTTTGTGACGGACTTGTTCTTCACTTTTTATTGCGAGTCTGGAAGTGGACCAAACCTTACAGGGTCCAAGACCCCTAAGCCCAGCCTCAGCCCCACAAGCCTTATCACAATCTCCAACAGATCAAGACACTCTGAGAGCCTCCGAGCCTAGCACCTTTTTGAGGGTGGGTATTTATCAAAAGGCATGACCACATGTTCTGGTGTGCAAAGGTATTTTTTTGCCTGTGTCAGACCTCGGCCATGCAAGGAGGTCTTCAGCGCTGTCAACCATTTCGCTCCCCCTTTGCCCATGCTTTCTCTGGGTGCCTACTCTGTCTCAGGGTTTCATGTGTGCTTGTGCAGCATGCCGCATGCCGTGCAGCGGTGACGTCAAGAAGGGGGTACAGCCGCGGCACCACAGGTCTCAGCCGCAGCCTAGCTCGAAGCTCCCTGCAGGGATCTCAGCAGCACATGGTGTCTGTGTTGCCGAAGGGTTGGAGCAAGGAGGTGTTCTGGAGTGCCGAGGGCAGACCAGGCAGACTGAGAGGCCGCTGAAGCCTTTGGAGCTTCAGGCAAGCTTTGCCTGCAAAGCGCGATCTCGCGTTTGCGTTTGAGACAAGGCATGCTCGCTTGCAGATGCCCGCGGGCCATCGGATGGCAATGGTGGCCGCCTGCCGAGTTCGCATCTGCCGCCGTGCAGCTGGAGTGCCATAGACCAGAGGCTCTGCAAAAAGCGACTCTAGCACCGACTTCAGCGCCGTGCAGCCCGTGCGGTCCTGCATGCGACCTCCACCTCATTCTGGACTTTCACCGCTTCTGCCCTGCCTTCCCAGCAGCCTGGGCGTGCTCATGTTCTTCGTTGCGGTTTGGAGCACCTTTGCCGGCCGTGGGCCGACGTGGTTTTGGGACAGCCGGAGCTAGAGCTGTAAGTTTGACTGGGCGCCGAGCGCATCCCCGCTAAGACGTTGATACCACAGACGCCGGAAGGCGCCCGCAGGCAACGGCAGGGACGCGCTGCCAAGAAGCGGCCAGGCACGTCCAGACAGCGGACTTTGTCGTAACGTAGCAGCACGACGCATCACCGTGCCATGCACTTGCACTCCGGGATCTCCTGTGTAGATCCAAGGTGGCAGATGCTTTTGCTCCTCGTGACCTTTTGCTTGCTCCTGCCGCAGGTCAGGTTCTATATGACACCACCGCTGGAATTAACACTGCACGTGCACACATGTGAGGATAGGACCATGTTCGGGCCGTGTGCTTGCCACGGCCAACGGGCCAAAAGGAAAGGATGGTACTGCAGATGCGTGAGATGTGGTTGAAATTCCGTGTGCACTGCATGAGGGGGCGTGTTGCGTTTTAGACATGCTCTTCCTAGTCGCGGAAATCCGCGCTGGTCGGAAACTAAGCACTGTCCAAACCACCTACCTCATGAAGGCAACCAGGCCAGCCAGGCCACACAGCTCCAGGAGCTTTTCAATCGAGGCCTGGGCGCAATGTGTTGCCCATGAGAGACCGCTAGTCTGACCAATCTGCTTCCCCTGCTCCACTTCCATTGAGGCCCGGCTCCTGGATAACTTGAAGCCCTGCGAGAGGTCGGCTTGTGCAGCAGCTCGATGCGTCGTTTGGCCTTTCGCGCTCCCTTGAAAGCCCATGCCAAAGCCACGGCCCTGCTCAAGGCCATGCTCGACGCCACTTTGATTTGCTCCCCGGGTTCTCAAGGGATCTTTGTACGTCGCCCGGTCAGAGGCAAGCTCCAGCCCTCAGAGCCAAGGGGTCTCTCAAGAACCCCCTTCAGCCAGGCTCCCTCCATTCCCTCCATTTCGGCACCTAAGAGGGCCCGGCGGAGTCTCATAGGAGTCCGGGCAAGCCCACAAGGGGGGGCCATGCTTGCAGAATCGGGCAAACGGCCCTTGGCATCTCAAGGGCGGGGCTTTCAAATTTTGCTCCTTTTGGAGTCCTCTGTGCGGCGGACAGTTGCACCCGGCGGTGCATTGTGGCCCCAGCCTTCGGCTCTGCCCAAGCTCGGAGAGCGATGAACGCCAGGGCTTTCTGAGAGGTGGCAAAGTTTCTTGAACACGAAGCCCTCGTAAACCCTTAAGGAAGTCTTGTGACAGGATGACGCAGCTTCTGTTGCAGCCGCTCTTCAAGCTCCGATTAGTGCTGGAGTGTCGGATCGGCGGCGGGCCGAAGCCAGAAGTGCCTGCTGCTTTGTCCAATGAGCAGAGGCGTATTGCCCAGACAATCCCAGAAGCTATTTTCCCGACTTCACCTTTTGGAGACCTTAGGCTCGTCAAATCTCTGCTGGAGTTCTCCTGCTCCTTTCTCCCAACCTCGACAAAGTATTGCAGCGCCAGCTTCTCTGCTCGGTATCCGTGAGCCCTTGAGGCTTCGCGGGGCTTTCCTTTCTGAGCTCATGAAGTTGAAGATGGAGAAGAAGGAGAGCAGTAAACAGCTTGACCACCCAACACCGTCCCCTCTTGCACAAGGCGCCTAGTAACCTAGTAGTGTCCAATTCCAGGGCAGATTAAATTAGGCACACAGGGGAGGGCTGGCTTTGGTGAAGTCTTTTTCTCTGCTTGACGAATTCTGCCATCGCCTTTCGGGCCGTGCACGGCCAAACGCTCTGCAAGCACCCACGACGAGTCCATTCTGCATATTTCGATGCTGGTGGCACACTGGAGCGCCACACTTCTCAACGATGTTCTGGCTTCTTGCGACTGCTCAAGCCAGAAGCCTGGGCCGAGGTCGCATTTGGCCCTATGAGCCGCATATCGGCTTCTTGCACTGCTCCATCGTGGTGTGTAGCCCGCATCAATGCCTTTCCTGCTGCCCCATTAAAATTACCGAGCAAGGCTGTCCATACCTACCACCCAGGCGGCCCCCGTTTGCGTCCCACGATAGGGCCTCGAAAGTATGCAGAACGTGCTGCGGCCTCTGCATGTAAAGCTCGCACGCGACACTAGTGTTTGCCGCCAGTCCTTAGCTTTCGCGGTCGTTCCCTGAGGACAAAGGTTATGCCAGGACGCAGCTCTCAGCCCAACGTGCCGCCCATCGCGCCTCGCCAGCCACTCACGCAGATGATGTTTTTTGGAGGCGGCGGTCGCATGGCGGGCCCGGCATCCGTCTACTTTAGCCTCGTCCAGTTCTATGCTGGGAGTGTGGAGATGTGCGCTCCGGTGGAGGACTCGCTCCGCTTTGCTCTGCCCCACAAACATCTCTTTCTTTCTATTTCGGCCCAAGCAAGCGCCCGAGGCTGATCCTTTGTGGCCACAGCTTTGGCGTCACAGTGGTGCGGAGTGTGGCTCTTCAGCTGTCCTGCTGTGGCCTGGACATCGGCTTCTAATAGCTTTGGATCCACGATGCATCGACAATACTGCCCTGGAGATTCTTACGGCCGTCCCAAGGAGCCTGGCCCAGTCCTTGGCGCCAACCCACTACCGCCTGGACGCCATCGAGCTCGAGTTCGTGGCACCACTGAGACCATGTGGGGCTCTTCAGACTCGTGCCTTTGTGCAATTGGCCAGAAGTTAGCTGCATCCTGGGACTTTCAGCTCTCGAGGCGTTGTGCGTGGCATTTCCGGGATGCAGACCATTTTGGCTTGCCTGATACGCAAGCTTGGGACGTGTCCAGCCACATTGCACAGCATGCACGGTATGCCCGCTGCAGGCGGCGCTTGCGCCGCATTGCGCCGCGACCTCGGTTTGAAGAGAAGCCAGGCAGCCAGTCTCCTGCTGCCATCACAAAGACCCATAGACCGTTTCGGTGCCAAGATGAAAGGCTTTGTCTTTGTTTGAGAAACGCCAGCTTATGATCGCGAGCAGGTGTTCAACCTCAGTGGCTTTCTGGCCGCCCGCCAGCTGTCTTCGCCAGCGTGGACGTTGCACCACCATTGAGTGGCCTGGCAGCGGGTCATCGGTGCGTGCTATTTATGCCATGTGTTCCTGCATTGCTTCGTTTCTGGGAGGGGCTGTGACAATCAACGCCGCGACCCCGCGACTCCATGCACCAGCATTTAGATATGTTGTACACCTGCACATGGCCCGTGAGTTGCGATTGCACCAGTCCAGACGGCATGCGAAGCTTCATGGAGCATGCTGAGATTCTCGAAAAAGGGTCTGTGGAAGCCTGCTGTGCTGTGCAACACGATGCAACACGTACAGGGTAGTTAGGGTTGAGGGATGTCACTAAGCCACATCCAAACTAGTCACCCTTAAGCATGTTACATGCTTTTACTTGTTTCGGATTTTGTGGATGTTTGGGGGGTCATTGCAAAGGAGACACAGTCACATAAGCCGAGACCGACACCTTACTGACCAGAAATTCGAGTTGGGGATTTGGGAACCGAGGCTCCCTGGGTGACGTGACGTCAGACGTGCTCTATGGATTTTTATGGAAAGCTAGGCTAGTACGGCGAGGCCTTCTGGCCTGCAGCGCCTGCAGCCTGCTGAATCTCCTTAATGGCCCTTACTGGTAGGGGTTTCACTGAGTACAGTCACCAGAAGGTCCGTCCATGTGTTGATGTAGGGTGGCAGCATTCCACGTACCTGCCTGTGCCTGTCGGGTCTAGGCCTTATCGGGAGTTGTCATGTCCAGCAGACCTGTGAACATGCGCCTCGCTTGGAGACCCCGAGTGCAAAAAACCCAGAAGCCAACGATGTCACATAATTGCCCATCCTAGTTGCATTTTTTGCTTCCTTGCCTCAAGTCGAAACAAATCAACGAGTCAGGGGATCCGGGCCAGGTCATCCGTCCTCTTGGATAAAAGGTAGAGTCAGTTCAATTATTAGTTTGAGTTTGCAGCATCTGCGGAAGCAGCAGCAGCAGCAGTAGCTAGCAAGATTTTCACCGTGCAGCGCTGGTGCGTGTGCTGTCTTGGGATTCTCCATCTCAGCTGCTGCCCCTTCAGAGGTAGGACCCGCAGACAAGATCATGCGCGTCCGAAGATTTGGCTTACAGTGAGTGGCTTGGGTGGAGACTTAAGAAACCTGTATACCCAGTGAAGGTTGGTAAATATGACTGGCTTCAGTCAGAGATGAGGCCTCAGACACACAGCGAATGCCTGGCCTAGTGGCACTTCCGCCTTGCAATCATGGGCTGCTGCAGTTCCTCGGATCCTCCCTACAACCCTCATTTCCGAGCTCAGCAGGGCGATCCAGTTCGACCCAAGGACGCTGGATTCTTGCCCTTTGTGCGCTGGGACACTGCTGCTTGGCATCAATTCGTGTTTCGTTGGTGGGAGACCGTGTCAGGCGCCGCCCCAAGCCGCCCAAGCCCAGGCCGCCGTTGCGCCTCAGATCACAGGTGGCGACCACATCTATTTGATCTTCACCTACTCAGAAGCAGCAATTCAAGGACAGGAGCTACTCACCATAACTTGTCTAACCCCCTTCCCCATGATCAGTTGCGCAGAATATCTGCTCGGAGGAAATGAGGACGGAACCGTGACCGCGGAGGCGCATGAACTCCGAAAGGGATCCGCAGCGCAATCCTCCAGGGACCATTCTTGGTCTCCTTCTGAGGATTCTACAGTCTGTGAGATTGTGGTTAGCAGGTTCAACCGACACGCCTACTCAATCAAAGACGTATAGCTTCAAGGAAAATAAAGACTATGGCAGCAGCAACTGCAAGTGGCGAAAAGCAAACCTGCAATGCGAAGGTACCTGCCATCCCCTCCAAATGGCCGTGGGCATGGCTTGGCGGCGGCTCCACTGAAGCGGATCGTCAAGAGTTCAGAGGCTCCTGCATCTTCCGTGTTTGGCGGAAGCTGGGCCACCGGAAATAGGAATAGAACTGTGCATAAGGGTCCCAACTAGAAGTAATGAAAACGAACCAGCATCCTCTAAACGATACGACAGTAACTACAGGCTTGGAACTTATGATGTAGCCCGTTCGCCCTCATCGCCCCATCCATACACGGCTCCGTTTGCAGCCGTTCTTGCGATCTCTGCTAACCCCGAGCATTCCTCACAAGGGTCCTTATCATCGCCCAGTATCATCGCGCCAGTTATCTCCGTGATCCAGGAAAGATGGGACCAACTCGGTAGTCCAAGATGGTGATGATGTCTTCTTCGAGCATGTGGACACGGGGAAGCAGCTTGGCACTTGACTGGAAAAGCCCATGAGGTCGCCAGGGTCGAAGCCCCGGGTGTTCTTTGGTCTTCGGGGTGATTCTCATGATTATGATGGTGGTTGTAGCAGACGTGTTGGCCTTATGTGGTCGAACGGTGAAGTCATGTTGGCGTATGTAGTAAAATTGAATATGAACCGTCGTAGTTTTCCAACCCCTAGAACCAGACGCAACCCTATAGAAGGATTCTGATTACCTGACAGTAATCTTTCCGGATTCTCTGGATGGCCAGCTTGAGAGGGCCAATCCTCTCGCGTCAGGTATCTTGAGGCTTCCACCGACACCGAGCCCTTGGCGTTGACAGACAAGGCCTGAGCGTTCCTGGAGAATGGAAAGGAAAACTAGACACGTAACAATAGAGATGATCGTATGCTTTCTTGTGTTCGTACGAGCTATCAGAGTGTTGAAAGCGAACATGAGTCAGCGTAGGTCAGCACTTCCCCTAGATACCAACAGTCCCCGAAGAATCTCTGATTGAATCTCCTTCTAACCGCATGGTCATCCGAGGACGAGACTGCGTCGGGCCAGCTCTGGGGTTTCTTCAAGCAGGGCCGGCCCATGGAGATGAGACATCGGGATACCAGTACTCCTCAATTTGATCACTTTGTAATTATGTAGTGGGGTCATGAGAGTTGATACACGGGGTTTCAGTTAGGGCAGGTCGAAAACATCCCCCACTCGGCTATAACACAGGAAAGCTAGGATGCAGAAGTTCAGCATAGCAACAGACGTCGACAGCGAAGTTTTTGTGTTCCCCTAGTTTGATGACCTCAGGGTGTTGATCGAAAGGTTCGTCTTTCAACGTTTCAGTATGCTTCAGTCCTATCAGTCCTATCAAGTCAAAAGGACAGCGTATACATCCAGAGTTGGCTGCACAACTATGTGGAGTACCGTTACTTCGAGGACAGCAACCTCTATGCCAAGAGGTGGCAGAGACGGGAGCCCCAGACCCTGACCGTTCTCAAAAAGGCTGTGCTAGATTCGTCCACGACGGAAGTCGCGAGGAAATTCCAATTCCAAGCCTTCGACCTGGACGGCAATGGCTCCATCAGCAAACGTGAGATGGACATCATGCTGCGGCTCGTTAGAGACGTCGAGCCGACTCTGGAGGAGACTTACCAGTGAACTTATCATGTCATAATGTCACCACAATAAAGTGGTGCCCTTGCTCAGTCCTGTATCGGAAACGAGGAGATTGATGGGATCATGGTCAAGGCTGATCCGGCCCACACAGGGCATATCCCATTCCCGTCTTTCGCCTCTTGGGCTGATGCTGGTGGCGGTGGCATGACGGAAGAGGAGCTGAACCATGCAGAAGTGCTCGGAAATGTGGCGCAGAGGTGCTTCGACGCCTTGCATGAGGGGAGGTGCCTTGTTGAGGTATTGGGCACCATCGACAGCATGACTGTTCAGGGCATGGTGGGCAAGTACAGTGAGAGCCTCAAAGCAGGCAATGCGACTGGGCTGCTTCAGAAGTAGTTGCTCTTTGACAATTTTTCTTGATTCGCGTACATTCCTTGCGGTGTTTAACCCTGCTCAGCCCAGTCTAGGTAAGCGAGAGGATCGTGGAGAAGGCAGCTGAGTCGGACGGCTGGCTCTTCTCCGGTAATTGGAAGAATTGCATGAAGGCACTGTCATAGGAAAATTGGTATTAGCTAGTTAGAGCTAGTAGTCTGCATCACTACCAGAGGGGTTGAGGATTTCGAAAGCTTTCGTGCGCGCTGCTTTATACCGTTGGTGCCCGCGTCGACTCTTGCTATGATCCATCCCTACTGGTATGCTCCCCGTATTTCCTGCATGGCCACCATGATACTTCCCAGATGGTGCAATCGCTCACACTTTTCCTGCAAATATTTTTTCACACTACCTACAATCCTACACTTGACCTACCCCTCATTATCCTCTAAATGCCTGATAATGCCTGTAGTGATCACCAGAGCAGACGGACAATGATCCCTATGCTCATGCGGTGATTACTACCACGAACCTGGGCATCCCGACACTTGCTCTTGTCACTATTGTGACTCCGGTCGTAATTCTCACTGCTCCATGATTGGGGCAAGTTGCCATGATGCTTTTGGTATCATGTGACTCGTGCACTGTAACCCTCTGGCCCCATGAGTCTGGTGCACAAAAGCTCAGAATCTCTCGAGGCCCTGCTGGAGCCCGAGGTTGACCTCTGGGTTCGCTGCTTGAACGATGCCATGCAGGGCCTGGGCACCGACGAGAACTCCTTGTCGCTTACTCGCGGATCAGCAATGATGCACAGGCTTTTTCGTCGGACTTTCCCCGCAGTTTGCCGGATTTTGCGTCAAGGGCTGTATGTGCGGGGTGGTAAAGCGGGTCTTAATGGAAACTGCATCCAACGGGCTGGCTCTGGCCATTGCAAAGTCAGGTCAGCCTTGGTGTGCACCTTGCCCGAGCGCTTGCGCATGGCTATCTTTCAAAAGTACCAAGCGACCTTTGGGAAGGGCTTGCTAGAGCATATTGAGAGCGAGACATCCTTCAGCTATCAGAAAGTGATGACATGGCAGGCCATGGCGCCGGAGGACTGCCGCGCCAGAATCCTGAACAAAGCCATGGCTGGCCTAGGAACTGCTGAAGATCAGCTGATCCGAGTGATCTGCCAACTGAATTTCGGCGAGCGTCGAGAGGTCAAAGAAGCCTATCAGCGCAGGTACGACAGAGATCTGCTGGAACACATCCAATCCGAAACGTCCGGCGACTTTCAAAAGGCCCTGCTTTGCATGTTGGAGGCGGAGGAGACGGCCTTCGATTTGGAAGCAGATTGCGCAGCCATGAAGGAAGCCATGGAAGGATGGGGGACCGACGAGATGGCCCTGATAAAGATGATTTGCAGCAAGACAGCCAAGCAAATGGAGGATGTGAACAAAAAGTTTCTGGAGCTGTATGACCGAGATTTGCTTGAGTGGGTAAAGAGCGAAACCAGCGGCTACTACCAAGATACGCTGCTGGGGTGCATTCGTCACCCCATGAAGCAGCTCGCCCATTCGGTCCGAGATTGCATGAAAGGCTGGGGTACGGACGATGAAGGCCTCATCACGTGCTTGGTGCATTTGGAGGATTTCAAGAAGGCCGCTCTCATCAAGGAATACAGTCTGGAGTTCGGCCGGGACATCTTCGAAGACATTAAATCGGACACCAGTGGCGACTACGAGAAGGCGCTCTGTGATCTAATCAAGCCGGCACCACAGGTATGGGCCGAGGCACTTACCGGCGCAATGAAGGGCATGGGAACCTCCGACTCACTACTCATCAACTTCATGGTCTTGGCTAAAGATGATATGATGGAGGCCCGGTGCTATGGATACAACAATCGGCCAAAAGGCACGGAAACTAATTTCCGATATTTCGCACCCGCAGACCCTATATACAAAGTCTTGCACGCTCCCTACATGCCTATATGTCCTACCGGAGGTCCGGAAGCACTTCCACGGGCTAAATGGGCAGATGCTGGAGGAGTGGATCGAGTCGGAAAGCACTGGTGATTACAAGGAGACTCTGATGATGCTACTGGGTGCTGACCAGAAGAATCTTGTACGACGGTATAGTCTAGGTGAAAGTAATCTCCAGTGGGATAAGGCAAACAGCCTCAGCAATCCCCCTCATCCGCCGAACCCCTATCATCCCTGCCAAAGTGGAACTTGCATACGAAAAGTCTCCTAGATCCCTTTGTGCGGGAGCTGTGAGCCGAGTCCAGGCTAGCTGGGCGAAACAGTGAGGAGACCATAAGCATCGCCCCAGTCTACTGGGCGCAGCGCTGCAAGGATGCCCTTTTCAGCGTGGAGACTTTGAAGGAGGTACTTTGAAGATGGAATACCTCGGATGATTGTATATGACGAGCAATAAGCCCATTTCACGCGACCGTTGAGATCAAGCGGGATACTTCAAGTGCGTAACGATACCAATAACAACACGGATCCTTGATTCATACTGACTAGAGTCTGGGGACATGACCTTCAATGAATGCAGACCATGGCAGTATCATAATTTCGGCTCGATGACTGCAGGTGTTGGTCTCGATGCCAGCGACAGCCATCAAGCGACACACAGAGCTCTACGAAGCTGTCTATGGAGCGTCGTTGAAGGAAGAAGTGGAAAAGAAATGCAACGAGAAGGGGACCTTCTTCTTTTACACAAATTGGTGGAAGCACGCAATGTTGTCCCTGACTTGCTTGCCCGTTGCTTGGAGCATGGCAGCCCTGCATAGTTTTGCTTTGCAATCTTTGCAGCCGCCAAGGTTGAGCTATACGTGAAGGGACTTTGGGATGCCATGCACGGCTGGGGAACTGACGAGTACACCCTCACTGCCTTGGTGTGCACTTTACCCGAGAACCTCTACGATGAGATCCACGGTTTCTGGATTGCCAATAGCAACAGCGTTATATACAGATTTATCGGGAATGCTGCAGGGATCAACTAACCCCGTTGACAGCCACTAAGTAGTTCAAGCTTCTCAACAACAAGCCAGGCTTGTATTTGAAGACACACGAGAGGAAGCTCGTGAATCACATCGAGTCGGAAACTTCCTTCAATTACAAAAAATTGCTGCAGTATCAAGCCATGACATGGGCTGAGAGCCGCGCCACGGCCCTTCATGGTGCTATGGCAGGATGGGGCACCTCGGAAGACCAGCTCGTCCGCATCATCATGTGTTCCTCCTTCAAGGAGCGGGCAGTAATCAGAGAGGCCTACGGAAGGCTTTTCGGCAGAGATTTGATTCAGCACATTGAGTCGGAGACCAGTGGGAACCTTAAAAGCATCCTTGTGGCCGTGCTGAAATGCACGCACCCCAAAGCTTCGCTAGACTACGACAAGGACTGCGAAGACCTCAAGAATGCCATGGATGGTTTCGGGACGAACGAGAAGGCCATCATTCAGATCGTCGCAGGCAAAACGCCCCAGCAGATCGAGACCCTCAAGGCCAAGTTTGAGGAGAAGTTTGGAGAAGAGCTTTTTACCCGGATCGACAGTGAGACCTGGGACTGCGGCCAGTGCATGTTCATGACGCCCAATTTCCGCGCCTGCATGCTGGGTCTCCTGCGCGAGCCCAGCGAACGGCATGCGTGTGCCGTTCGTGACTGCATCGTCGGCTGGGGCACAGACGACACGGGCCTCATCACACTGCTGGTGCACCTCTCCGAGAGACAGCGCCGTGAGCTTGCGGAAGCCTACAAGAGGCTCACGGGCTCCAGCATTGTTGACGCTATCGAAGGGGACACCAGCGGGGACTTCAAGCAAGCACTGCTGGCCCTAGTAAAGCCAGCCCCCAAGGTTTGGGCCGAAGCGATTCTGTCCTCTATGAAAGGGCTGGGAACCTCAGACAACCTCTTGATCAATTGGATGTGCATTGCAAAGGAGCGCATGGACGAGGTCAAGGAATTCTTCGCTGAGTTGGAGCCTCGCGGCTTGCCAGCTTGGATTGCCGAGGAGTGCGGGGACAACGACTACAAGGACACGCTTCTTCGGCTGGCCAATCGAAAGTGCGAGCGCTTCTCGGGTCAAGAGGTCGGCCTCAGCATCTCGCCGCCAGAGTCGAAGGAGCAGGCCATTCTACAGTTCACGACGACCTTCAACAGATTGTGCAAGATGCGTCGCGAGAAGGGTGACGACATCATCCCCACTGAAGAGCACCAGCAGGCCATGGGCAACGCCTTCTTGTATTATGGATCCATGTCCAGCTGTGCACCGAATCTTGACATTCCGGGCCTGTGGGAACTAACGAATGCCTGCGGCTTCCCTCCGGCTGATGACGGCCCAGATTTAGTTGCCACTTTTCACGAGTGGGACGTGAGTGGCACTGGCGAAATCACCTGGAACGATTTTGTGCGAGAGATGACCACGCGCATCAACGATCCGGGGCACTTCAACTCCGACCCACTACCAGAGACCTTTGACATGATCTCCATTCCGGACAGGCCGAGGGCAGATGGCTACAAGAGCTACATCAGCAGTTTCAATGCTTCGGATGACGATTACGAGAGCTTCGACGGCGATACCCTGCAGGTAGACATGTATGCAGCATTCACGGATGGCAGCTGGAAAGATGTCCTCGCTGGCGTGGAACCTGGGACAGACGGGGCAGGCCACCTTGCCGGGCCCTGGGGAGAGTGCATTGCTGCTGCGGTGAAAGTTGAATGCACGGAGGAATGGCAGGATCGCTTCCCCGATGCTCCAGTTGGACTTGTTATTGAGTACATGTGTGCCTGTGGCCATGACGGGTTCGTTGGTCCGGCTGAGCAAAAGGAGCAGGCCTGCAAAGCAGCTCTGTGAGTGTTGCTTTGCTGCGCAATCTGCGCAGCACATTTGAGGAATCAGGCTCGACAGATTGTTTTGGTCGCATTTGTCAAGCTACTGGTGCATGTCTCAAAAGGCTCTAGCCCCAACAAACAGTATAACAAAGTCAAGCAGACGGTATCCCGACTGGAAGCACCCAAGCAAAGGAAATACGAACTTGCCCTGATACAGTACAGTTTCGGGGTTGAGACCGACCGCGTCTTGGCCTCGACGGCGCTGATTAGGTGACCTGGGTCGCTAGGAGAAGGAACTCGGCACAAGTCCTGGTTCTCTTTGTGCACTGACGGCTAAAGCCTTGTCAAAAGCTGGGCTTGTGCTAAACTTCACGTCGTGGTCAGTCGTCTGGCACATCATATGCCCAGGCAGAGCCCTGATGGCACAGCCTGAGAGTGAGAGTTTCGCCGTGTTTAGCCTTCAAATCTGCAGAAGATGCCGTGTTTGGATCGCAGTCAGCCGTTCTGCGGGTCTTGGTTCCGTGGGTAGCTTCACAGTGCGTTGCAGTCAGTGTCCCTCGGTTGCTTCTCCCGTAGCATTGTTGGGGAGGGGTCATACATCTACAAATGAACAAGGGGCTCAGAGCCTGCAGCTCCCACAATCGACCTTATACAAGGGTTCACTTTATCTCGAGTCCTGTGTTTTTTCACACATCAATCGGCGACCAGCATGGGGGAAGCAGTTCTCAGCGCAAATCTTTTGTTGTATAGCGGTAGCAAAGTTGGTTTCTTTTCTGTTTGGACAGCGCCTGAAAGGCATTCCGGCATGTTGGGAGGCAGCGACAGGGTTTCAGCCTCGTTTACCTAGTATTGCAGCTTGCGAAATCCAGCGTTTACCTCGGGAATGGCTGGCTTTGATAAGCCACTGATGTACGTACATGCTTTACAAAAACAAACCCACAAAGCCCGAAGACCCTCCAATAAGGGTCCAAGGACAAACGACGATACCACTGATTAAAGAGCCTGCAAATGCCAACTGCGCCAACAGCATCTACCACTACCACGCGACCAACATGACCACACACAACGTTGCTCACTACCTGCGGCCACGACGGCAGGCATGGAACTTTCACGCAAAGGGGTTGAATCAAGATTTTGAGTCTCCTCGATGCGGCTGACGGGTTTGCGCAGGCGAGCCGGAGCCCAGTGGAAATCCTGTAAAAACTCAGGGAACCCATTGGGAGCCCGGCAGAAATGCTGTAAGAACCAAGAGAGCTCACTGGGAGCCCAATAGCTAAACCTAAACCACTAGCTTACTTAAACTATTTGCTTAATGTACCCTGCATCGTAGGTTCGTCCTACCGTTTTGCTATTGTTAACATGGGCAAAGGCGATTACCCCGATCTTTGTTGCAATGTATTGTGTTCGGGTTGGTATCACAGCTTCTTCAAATACGATTCCCCAATAATCAATACTGGGACGGTATTTGGAGCCAGTTTCCTAAACCCAAGTACCTGTAGAGTCGACAACGCCGACTTCAATAGGGCTTCGAATGCCATCGCCTGATCCTGTATAAGGGGTCCGAATCACAAGTTCACTCTGTTTCACAGTATTGGAGAAGTGTAATTGAGGCCCCCCAGAAATTGTAACCAGCCATGAGGAATCGGTTTGGGTCAGCCGCTGGCCACAGGATGCCACCAGCAGAATTTTAGTTCGCGGCCTGCCCCGAGTCCCCAAACGGTTCTCACTGTTGGGGAAGTGTATTTGAGGCCCCCCAGGAATTGAAACAAAAGTAAGACATAGTTAACCGGCAAACTTGCAACGCAGCCAAAAGCGGGGGCATTCGAATGCGAGGCCCAAGCAGAAATTGTAAGGAAAGTAAGACGCAGTTACATGGTCAACCGGCGAGCTTGTAACGCAGCCAAAAGCGGTTGCATTCGAGGCCCCCCCAGATATTAATACCAGTTTGAGGCCGACTTCCATAGGGCTTCAAGTACGATACCCCAATACTGGGAAGGTATTTGAAGCCAGGTTGAAGCCGGCTGCAATAGGGCTTCAAATACGATTCCCAAATTAATTGAAGCTGAGGGACTCGGGATATTGAAAATTCTAGATAGACGAGTATCCATGAGGAATCGGTTTGGGTCAGCCGCTGGCCACAGCATGCCACCAGCAGAATTTCAGCAGAGCAAGCACCCTTGCATTTCGCAATCGAACGAGACTGCACACGCAACACAGCAGATCGAGAAGGCCGCTCAGCCACTCAGCCATGGGTGCAAGAGGACGCAAACAGCCCAGCGAGGCCTGCGCTTTCTGTCACTTGCGCCGGTTTGGATCTTGATGCCGCCAGGGCCTGCCGCACCGCAATTGGCAGCTCCGGAACAGCCGCTCGCAGCAAAATGGATGGTTGTTGACTCCATCGCCTTGTATTATGGGGCCGGGGTGCATGTGTCAGGGATTACATGGTCTGCAGGCTGAAGCTCCGAAACAGGGGTCAGAGGGACTGTGTCAGAGTGGCGGGCGCATATGGCCGGAGACTCAGCTGACAGCTGATGCGGAGGAAGTTGCAGCCGCAGCCGGGAGCCGAGATGTGCCAGGTTCAGCCTTATAGACAATTTTAGTTTCGTGAGCCGGGCCAGCCTGCGTTCAGGCATTCAACCTGGTGTTTAGAACAAAAGAGAATCCGACAAGCATCATGAATCCTGCAGAACAACCAAAGACTTGGAGTTTCTAAGTGCAGCAATGGAATTTGCTACCAGCCCTTCGATCTCAGCAGATGTAGCACTGCACTAGGCAGCAGGAACATTTTCGACAGCTCGAGATGCAGCCTCGGCCTGAGACACTGGCCCAGTTCTGAACAGAGATGATTACCTGGTAGGCCGTCAGCTCAGCTTGAGAAGCCGGGTGCCAAGTGATGCCAGGTGTCACAGCTGAGGTCAGAGATTCGAATCTCACGTAGAGCCTCGCCTGTTTTGGATCAGACGTGCTTTCATCATTCAAGGAGTCTTCTGGAGCTGCCTGCAGGGTCAGTGCTGCAGCCACCTCACCGATGCATTCAGAGAGTGACCTGCATGCGGCATATAGGACACTTGTGCCTGCCCCTGGTGAGGCCAGAGGCGCCTCTGCTCGACGGTGCTCGGGGTCTCGACCCATCCCCAGCGGGTGGCTGCGATGTCAGACAGCCACTGTGGCAGCAGTTCCAAGCGAAAGGGTGCATTGACATACGTCATACCTGTTCTTTTAGTCTTGGAGCAGGGAGCCGAGGCAGCTGCAGCAAAATCCAGACCACCAGAGCGCTGCGAAGTGCCTTCAGCAGCAGCTTAGGGCACCACGCGCACAAAATGGTATCGCCATCGCTGCATTGTGTGCCAAGGCGCAGACAGAAGGGTAGCGATGCTTCTTCATCTGGAAGCACTGCGGGCACTTGTTCGACTGAGAGCGGCGGGCAGTCACAGGACACAAGCCATGAAAGGCGAAGGCATGCCATGCCTCACATGACCCGTGACTGGCTCATCTTGAAGGATCTGCCTGACTCGGACTCGGACCGTGAGCCTGTGCTTCAGCACAGTGCTCCTGCCAAGGTGTGTAAGCCGCAAGTGAATCCTTGAGATGAACATGTGTTGGATTTGTCGAGCATGCGCGCAGGCCTTTCTGAACAGGAATGCGCTGGCGGACTGGTACGTCGGCAGGGCGCGATGCTTGCATCAACAGTAGATGTGGAGCCACCGTGCCGTCTCAACCCCAAAAACTTTGTCAAGGCGTGCAGGGCCGAGATGCAGATGAAGGATGATGAGCACCCCAAAATTAAGGCAGGTTTCCGCTTGAGACATGCAGCAATCCAAGTTCCAGGAATCCACATTGAAACTTGGAGTGCTCGCTTGTTGTTGACTGGCTTGCATCTACCCTTGGAAGATGCTACCCACAATCCGTGGGTTGTGTCAGAGCTCAACTCTTTCGGCTAGTTTTCACAACCCTGAATTTGTGTCTCCCGACTCTGGAAGTCTCGCCCAGGGCCGCCTTTGTGTTGGCCGGATGAACTGCGAACTCCCCTCTTGTGTTGGGAGTGCCATGACCCTGCGTTCGATGTGAAATCCCTTGCTCCGGATCCTTCGCACGACCATCCTCCTCAGTGGGATGTTCCGTTCAAGTCCCCTCGGTGCTGTCTGCGTGTTTCAATACCTCGCGTGTAGGGTGTGCTGTGCTGTGCCTGAGAGCTGCGTGAGTTGGGCGGGGCACAGCATGAATACGTGGCAGAACCACTCGCCTGTCCGGCCCCTGGATGAACACCCACAGCAGCTACCATGAAGCAAAATCCGAAACGACGTCGGGCAGGATACCGCATTTTGGCTGCACCGCGGTTTGTTCGCGCGTGTTCACAAGTAATGTAACATCGTCCACATTCGTGCAGAGACAGAAGGACCTCATGGCAACAAGTTCGGGTCAAAGATGTTGTGAAAGCATCCTGCATGAAACTCTTGTTGGGTTGTACGCGGCAGCAGTGCGACATTCTGCGATAGCTTCGCGTTTCTTTATTGTGGACTGCGTGTTGCAGAACGCTTCCTTTTGCACTTGAAACAAGGGCAAAGGATGTCTTGAATTTGTTGCTCCCGCTGAAACTGTGGTTCATCAGCGTCACCGGAAATTAAGTTGTTGAGCATCCACTCGAAAACTTTCTGCACTCGCAGGCCTATCGGACCAAGGCAACAAACAGACTGCTGAACCACCCGCAGCCACCCAAGTCAGCGTGACAGTGGGTGTCAATACAAGCGCTTGCCATGCTCTGAAACGTGGCTGTTTGTCATGGGGCGCGTTGCGAGAAACGACCGTGGAGCGCAAACACCCCCGCGTCAGTGTCTCCTTGCGTGTAGCAGCAGGTCTTTGACATTGATGCATTGAAGCCCACAGTTTGGAGGTGACGCCCACGGAGCTGGACTCCAGCAGTTCTCCTGGTTCTACTGCGGAGGTGGCGGAGCAAGCGCCGCAATGGGCCGCACGAGATTTCGGTGCTTCATGTAAGTATGTTTGCCTGGCCACCTAAAGAGTGACTTGTTGACTGTTCCAGTACTCATTGATTCCGCCTGGCAGGCAGCGCTCAGTAGTGCTGAGGAGACGTTGGATGCCAAGGACTCCTCCGGCATAGTGTCGAAGCTGCGCGGGCGGGTTGCTAGAATCCGCAGGGTTGCACTCGCTGTCGCAACACCTCAGCCAAACATCGCTGTACACGCTGTTGCTGGGACCTGCTGCACAAAATCCAGTGGGAGGATATCCATGGGGCAGCTGCCGAGTCCCTATCGAATTTGTCCGGAAGAGGTCTTGCAGGCTCCAGCGCAAAGTTAGGGCCGAAAGTTTGATCCGACACTCAGGTTCTCATGTCGCTCGAGGACTTCCTTGCAGAGGCGGCCATGCGTCCAAGCAGGGTGACTTTGTAGGCTAGTCGGTGCTGTTTGCGTGTTTCAATACCTCGCGTGTAGGGCGAGCTGTGCCTGAGGGCTGCGTGATTTGGGCGGGGCACAGCGTCACAGCGTGAGCACGTGGCAGTACCGTGTGGCTGTGCCGCGGTTTGTTCGCGCGTGTTCACAAGTAATGTAACATCGTCCACATTCGTGCAGAGACAGAAGGACCATATGGCAACAAGTTCGGGTCAAAGATGTTGTGAAAGCATCCTGCATAGAAGCTCTTGTTGGGTCGTACACGGCAGCAGTGCGACATTCTGCGATAGCTTCGCGTTTTTTTATTGTGGACTGCGTGTTGCAGACCGCTTCCTTTTGCACTTTGGCCAAGGGCTCGCGCCCATCCACTCGAAAACCTTTCTGCGCGCGCAGGCCTATCGAACCAAGGCAACAAACAGACTGCTGAACCACCGGCAGCCACCCAAGTCGGCGTGACAGTGGGTGTCAATACAAGCGCTTGCCATCTCTTAAACGTGGCTGTTTGTCATGGGGCGCGTTGCGAGAAACGACCGTGGAGCGCAAACACCCCCGCGTCAGTGTCTCCTTGCGTGTAGCAGCAGGTCTTTGACATTGGTGCATTGAAGCCCACAGTTTGGAGGTGACGCCCACGGAGCTGGACTCCAGCAGTTCTCCTGATTCTACTGCGGAGGTGGCGGAGCAATGGGCCGCACGAGATTTCGGTGCTTCATGTAAGTATGTTTGCCTGGCCACCTAAAGAGTGACTTGTTGACTGTTCCAGTACTCATTGATTCCGCCTGGCAGGCAGCGCTCAGTAGTGCTGAGGAGACGTTGGATGCCAAGGACTCCTCCGGCATAGTGTCGAAGCTGCACGTTCCATCTTCGAAGCGGGGCTGCTTGCGAGTGGTTCAGGAATTGGCCGAAAGTTGCTGTTTCAGGTTTCACGTGTGCGAGGCCGGCTGCCCTGCTTTTGTGCATCATGTAGTATGTTGTTTGTATCATCGAACAGGTGGAGTCTGAGGGTCTTCCAATGTGGTGCCTCCAGCGTTCGCATTGTAAGTCTCAACAATTCCATGACACTGACGATGGGCAGCTGCAGTCTCTCCACTGAACACAGTGTGTCTTGGCGTCACAACGTGTCGGCTAATGCACAGCAGCACTGAACACGACGGCACGCCCAAGTCAAAATGTCTCAGAGGAGGGCTGTTGCTCTGGATAGCGAGACGCTTGTTGACTGACGCCCTACAGGAAGCCTGCGACGAGGAGGTCAGGAGCCTGGTGCCACCCGAAGGGTCTGGGTTGCCGCAGGGTCGGTGCACTTGGCCTAGGAGTAGCCAGATTTCAACAAGCGAGAGCCACATCCAGAAAAACAGTAATCAGCAAACACAGCCCCAACAGTCACAAAAAGCACGGCCTCCCGCAGCAACCGGGACAGCCGCATTCACAAACAGGAAAGCCACAGTCACAAACAGGAACGCAACGGCCAGAAAACAGCACCGGGGACGCTGACAAACGTCCTTCCGCAATTGTAATTGTAAGTACAATGACAGACAGACCAGAGTGTTTAAGCAAGCAGCGAGTATGTCTGTTTACATGCGTGTATTCTTCATTGTACCAGCACCTACACTACGTTTAAAATCATCCGGTCATGTCTTCAAGTGTCGACTAAGACGAACATTTCGTGTGCATCAACTCGCTCTGTTAGCCCTTCTGAGACTGAGATGTAGCATTTGTCAACCTCCAATTACACTTCGCATCGCTGCTTTATCCTTAACTTTCGCGATCTTTCGCGCAAATTCTGATTGCATCCTCTTCCTCCATCTTTGGGTATTTTCGTTGGAGACTTCAGTAAATACTTTTCATTTAATGAGTTTGCGCGGGGATGTTGGTCATCTTGCCGAGGCCTCGTGTGCACACTCTCCATTGCAGACTCTGGAAGACTTCTTGGTTTGGGGCTCAGCCGCTTGTGGCCCGCCTGTGACCCACTTGCGCCCGTGGTTCAGGGTTTCGCGTTTCCAAGATGTGGCAAGCAGCAGTTGCTTGCCAGTGAGGAACCCTTACAAACCTCAGAAGAGTTCCTGCGGTGCGCTTGGGGCCGAGCATCACCGAGCATCTGCCTTTCCACCCCATCCAGATGTTGGTTCCATTCCTGTGTTCTTTGTGATTGTTTGTGCGTTGCGAGGAACCATGCGTCCTGTCGCTCCCGGCCCCGGATGGCCCGGAGCCTGCAGCAAATGTTCTTGAGGTGCCCTGCGGCCCTGTTTGTAGTGCAAAATAAAGTCGGCATTCGTTTTTTTGTTGTTGCTTTTTCGGCTTTTGGATCTCGCAGTTGTGAGCACAGGGGATGGGGATCTACGTCGTTGTCTGTGCCACCTGCGCGTGAGGTTTGCCTTCTGATTCTGACGCCGCAGCTGGCTCAAGTGTGCCGGAGCGTGTCGGATTCTCTTGGCATCTTGCCAACATGTCGACCTTGCAGGCTCGAATATGTGAGACACAGCATTTCTTGGAGCGCAGTCTGGAGTTTGGTTGAATGCACATGTCCTCGGTAAACCAACAGCGGCATCGCTTCAACCGCGCTCACTTTGCATCTCCATGCTGAGTCATTGTGCTCAGCTACGCGCGCCTGACGTGTTGCATCCTTGTCGATGGTCTCCTCCGAAGATTGGTAGCCTCCACCACATTCTCCCTCCTCCAAGGGAGCACATCATCCAATACCCAGCGTTAGCTGATCTGTTGGGGGGTGAGCCCCATTTTTGCTGGGCACACCCGCAGACAACCGAAGACATCCAAAGCCCTAGATATCTAAGGATTGCTTTGCATGACTGTAACAGGAATCGTGCCATGTATGTTGCAGAGCCAACCAATGTACTAGGCTACATGCCCCGTCCCCTCTCCTGTGCTCTCTCACGAGCGTTCTTTCTTGCCAGCCCACAGACACATCTGGATCAGGCTTCACCCAGCAGGGCAATTGTGGAGAGGGCCAGGACTGTGAACCAATGCCATGCCATAGAAGTGAAATGCAACCTCATTGGCAGGACACTGGGCTTCACGGGATCTGGAAAGAGGGTGAGGGTCTTACTGGCCCTGCGAACTGGTGTCTCCTGAGCCAGCGCTGCTGGCTTAGGATCTCAGAATTTTCATACGGACAAGGCGCGGTATTGGTTTTCAGCCTTTTGATACCGTGCGGATGTGAGGAGAGCTGTGGCAGGTCAGTTGAGTTTGAAGACTTGCCTGAGAGCAAGGCCAAGTCTTCGGTATCTACCGTTCGATTTCGCTCTGCGAGGCTTTCCATCTGAGAATCTGCGGTGCTTCTCCAGACAAACACACACACACACACGTGCAGAAACGTGTGCGCTTCTGGGCAGGTCTTTGCGATGGAGCCGCTCGAAGAGTTCCTGGCGCCTTGCCGTTGCCGTGGTGCATTTACTTATGGACAAGATTGCATGCGGGGGTGTACTGTTGCGTCTCAAGCTCTGCGCTGTGCCTACTGTCCACGCGGCTTATACAGCTGCTCTATGCAGCAATGCTGCAGGCTTTGCCTGCTGTGCCCACTGTCGCAAGTCGGCATCCCCCCCGCCAGCAGGTCCAAGTTGAACTGCATCGACCACGTGAGATGTATTGACTGAAGAACATGTCTTTGCCATGCGGGCATGCGCGTTGCGAAGAGGATGGCTGGCCCTCATCGACGGGAGCTGCAGCCGTGGTGTGCCATTGCCTTGGGGTTCTTTAGCGTTGTTGTTCGCAGCACCGCTGGAGGCATTGCGTATATGGGATAATTAGCTGATTTAGCTGATGTTGATGTGACAGGACGACGGCGTGGGCAGTGGATTCTCTCTCGAGGCTGTGCTAGTATGTTGGCTTGAAGCTGGACGTTTGTGAAACTTTGTTGGCGAGTGATGGAGGAGATGGCCGTGGGAGATTTTGACCAGTTCGCCGACGACCTGCCGTGGCCTAGCTTGTGAATATGCTCCCGCAGCGGTAACGACACGGCACAATGTTCAGCAGGCGCGAGAAGCCCGTCCATGCGTTCTCCATGGCCTTGCCCACATGGTTTGTATGGGCTTTCTGCAACTCTGGATCTGCACGGCTAGCGCGCCAGGAAGAGTATTCCACACCTTTGCAGCCGCTGACTGTCGCCCAACGGGTGCACATGAGGTAGGTGCTTTCAGCTCGTTTCGGTGCTGCGAGCAGCATCAGCAGGTGCACCGAGAGGTGCTCCGACTGCTGCTTGATGTGATGGCCTTCCGTTAAAGCCCGATCAGGTCACATATCTTAGTAAGGGTATACGGGTCACGGTGAGTGTATATCGGGCTCGTTACTATTGGCGAGTGCAAGTAGGGGCTGAGGTGATCGTACTCGCCTGCTGTGTTAAAGCTTTTGCGGGACCGACCAGGGCCTAACCAAGAAATGTTTGACAGCCAGTTTCCGATAGTGGCTCACCCATGACCTTTAATGTCAATCACTTTGAAAATGAGCGCACGTTGGTGGGAGTTGCGCATTGGGGACCTGCCCATTCATGGGGGAGAATGTGCAGAGGATAAAAGAACGATCGAGCCGCAGGGGATTTGCAGCAGATAAGTGTTCATCCATGTTGCACCATTCCGTGCATGTTTGGGTTCAGAATATGAGTTGCTGCTGTAAAGCGCGACAGGCGCTCACGGCACCGGTGTTGGAGGGGTACGGCATCTATCTGGCGATGTACGACATCTCGCGCGGACGCGCGGCTCGCTACTCCAGCTTGCTTCTTGGAGAGCACCTCCAGGCCCGGCAAGTGGCATCAGGGCGATGCCGGTTCTGGCCAAACGCTGAGCACAGATTGAGTTTGAACATGTGCGTTCCATTGGAAGGCGATTTGGCACACAGGCGTGGTGGTGGAATGCGGAGAACAAGCAAGCCAGTGCCTGAGGGCAGAGAGCCACAACTACGTTTCGGCCAATCTCGTCCTTATTGTCCGACGCATGTAAGGTGAGTTCTGGTTTGGAGGGCGCATCGCAGAATCTGAGCCCGGGTTCGGAGCTTGGGCTTACTCAGTTGATAGATGATGTTTGCAACCTTCCGGGAGCAACAGCAGTCGCAGCTTTGGAGAATTCAGAAGCATGTTGATGTTGAAGTTGATTGAAATTTTGGCGTTGAATAACAGTTTAGCGATTCAACCATGAGGCGATCGCCATTTGGGCAGCCAGCAGAGAAGAGGCCAGCTATCGCAAGGCTTCGCGGCACTGCAATTGCGGACCTTTGTGGCCTGCAGGTTCCTGGGATATACGAAGAAAACGCGTCAACAAGTGCTTGAATTCTTCACCTGGTGCCCCGCTGCAGCCATGCTGCACCCTTGCATTTTCGTATGTATTTTGTAATTGCACGAGGTTGATTGTGAACGACAGAAATTTCGACGGGGAGCGCGTGAGCGAGACTTTGCAGCGTCGCGCCTTCTTCCCGGGGGCAGCACTTGAGGACCAACAATTGCAACCACTTTGCGGACAGGTTGGTCTTCTTTCTTCGAAATGAGCCTCTTGCATGACATATACCACGCGTCCACCAGGGATTCCCAGAAAAGCTTGTATCGGATCCGAGGCACATTCCCGCGGACATATACAAGCAACCTCAGCTGGCGCAGTGCCCAGTCTCAGTATCCCCCAAAGAGTACTGGAATTGGTACTGCAAACACCGGTCATGCCGAGGTGCCACATCTCACTGCTTTGCGCAAGTCTGCCCGTGTTTGAGGTGACTCGAAGCTTGCGAGGTCGAGCTCTTTGCTACCTGCTAGGTTTGCACTGCTGACGCCACCTGCCCAGGGCTCAGAGCGCAACAGTTGAGATGAATCCCGTGGGCCTTTGAGGGCTTGCTCAAGCATCTTTGCAGTGGTTGGCAGGCTCCCAATTGTAGACCCCTAGTAGGAGGATTCATGTCTAAATCCTATACACATCATGTGAATCATGTGCCTGTATGGTGCCGAAAAATGGTGTCACAAGCCACAGGAGGCTGCGAGCAGTGACTACAGGCTGAAGCTGCCACACACAAATCAGCGTACTCGAAAGGAGTTGAGGTGCCGTTGTTGTTGCCTCTAAGGTTGAGGCCCTGGCCGAGAAGTGCCTGGAGCGTTTGGAAGCTTTGAGCGTCCAAGCCTTCGAGCCCTGCCTGTCGCCACGAACTCTGAGGCCACGTCCCGTATCCAGGCTGCATCGAAAAGAGTGCTGTCTCGCGTGCTAGGTCAGGGATGCTGACTTGAAGACGCTGCCTGCGGCTGAAGACCCGTTCGACAAGGCGCTGTTGCTCTTTGGCCGACGCTTCGGGTGTGTTCCGTACACGGCACAGGAGCCATGGCACCCCGCTTTCTCCAGCTTGCAGCAGTACCTAGACAAGGCGCACACAGCCCTGTCCTGGGCACAAAGTGGCCCCAAAGTGGCCCCCAAGCACCCCGACGCCGGGATTCGCCGATTGCAATGAGAGAAAAACAACTTGCAGTCCTGGCTTGGGAGCGATGTGCAGCGTCACCTGCAGGCCTGGAGTTTCAGCCCATGGTATTGGTTTTGGTACGGTATGCTTCCATCAGTTCTTTGAAGATTTTACGCGCCATCGTCGACGTTAAGCCGCCTTGCGCAATATGTGAGTAGGGTTTTGTGGGCCTCCACGGATGGTGGGCCAGTGGATGCGGTCGCCCTCAAGCACAGGGCTGCAATCGCAACATGCATCGATGCCGCACAAGGCGCTAGCAGCCTTAGCAATTGGCGCTCATCAGGATCTCGTCAGGCCAATCTGGACTTTTTTGGATTTGTGTCATATCAAGGCAGCTCGAGTCCTTGCGCAAACATGTTATGTTGCTTAGTACAGGAGTTTGGTGTTTCACTTCTGCGCAGCTGCGCCATGTTAGATTGCCAGTCAAAGCACGTCAAGCCTGCCATGGATGAAGTTTGAACCTGAGCAGGGTGATTAGCTAGCGTGCTACACAGCAAGAGCAAGCTGAAGGCTCAGCCGGCGACCCTGGAAAAGCTTAAAGACTTCATTTCACCTGTCCGCTGCCCAGCTGTCAAAGCCTCTTCTGCGTTGATCATGTGTGTAGAGAATTTAAACAACCCATTGCAGAGGGCACGAAAAGCAGTTCACAGCAAGTCGGCTAAAATGTGATGCTGATCCTGGCTAATGTTTCTGTTCGTGGCGGGGAGCTTCAATTTTGGCGCCTCGAGGCCTAGTCGAGCAACATCAAGACGTCTGGTCATACAAGATTGGGTCATATCAAGACACGTAGGGTCCTTGCGAAAACATGCCCGGCATCTCCTTTTGCTTCGTAAGGGAGGTTAAGAGTTGCAATTATGGTGCATAGCACCCTTGCAGAACAATGCACAGCATCACTCTTTCTGCAGGGTTCTGCAGGATCTTTTGTGCTATTGAACCCTAGCGCAAAAACATCTCACATAGCCTCTGCATGTAATCCTCCGGTCTGCCGGCCTGTGCAGGGTTGGCTTGAGCCGCTATGTCAAGATGCCGGAGGGAACGTTCTGCCAATTGGAAAGCACAGCTGTGACATCAGAGACAAACGACCGCTCCAGTGTAAGGAGGCCGGATGTGGCATGTGATGGGCAGGCCCCCATGTGACGGGTCCTATTAACTAAGGTAAAACTGCAGGGGAATAGTATCCATGCAGTCGGGTGTCTGGAATATTGATAGATTGGACCTCCCTTCGACTCAAAATGTCCTGGCCCTGCCAAGCTCAAGAGCAGAGGATTCCCTTGGCCAGGCGAAGGTGTACGGTTACATGTACGACATGAGCCATGGCCTCGCCAAGAAGTATTCCTGGCTTTCCTGGGCCAGCACTTCGAGGCTTGGGCTTGTCAGCTCCTGCGGATGCTGCATGATGAATCGTTTGGGCAGCCGAATAGCGCATGGCCATCAAGTTTGCTCCAGGCTTTGTGCGCAGAATTCTGCGCGCTGAAGGGCTTGTGCGCACGCGGCCTTGGAGGCGTCAGACCGTCGAGAGTTCAAAGTTTTGGGGTGGGCGGTCTTGCACTTAGGCTTTGGATGGTTTCAAAGTTTGGGCTTGAGCGTCGGGCTTAAATCTATAATCCTAGAATCCTAACCGAAACCCTTAATCCTGGCTGTGAAAACTCTTTCGGACTGAACGTCCCTGAACCCGGAATTCCCACCTTGCACCTTCAGCCCTCAATCCGGCAACCGAAGTCCTGAACCCAGCAGCTCGCAGCCCTCATCACAAAACTTAGTCTTTAAACCGTGAGTTTCCTTCATCCATCTTAATCCCCAACCTGAAACCCGAAGCCCAAGGGGACATGGGCATGTACGGGTTAGTGTCTTGCTCCCTGCACGTGCTGTGCAACATCCGCCCGGATTGCGAAGCCGCTGTCTTTCATCTGAACGCTGCTGATCAGCATCCTCCCCAGTGACTTTGCCAGACGCTCAGCAACAACACCTCAAGTCACTATGTCCATACTGGTCCACATTTGCATGAAAGCCAAACCGCTTTAAATGCCTCCAAGAGCTTGTTACACGGTTCGCTCTTCCCTTCTTCTGCTTGCTGACGAACAAAATCCTGCGGCTGTATGTTCGAGTATTCAGTGCATGTGTATCACAATTGTTTAGGGCGGTTCCTCCTCCATCTGGCCAGATTCGTTTAAGCATTCTTGAACTCATGGCCCGCGCCTCTGACGCGACGGCCGAAGGCGCCAAATATCTCGCAAATTAGTAAAGTAAAGCCGCTACACCCCATTCATATGGGTCGTGGCAGTTGGGCAATCAATAAATTTCCGAGATTCCGGATTGTCGGGGGGATCGTATAAGGTCAGCGAAGCTGCCATTTTGACATGCCCTTGGCACCATTGTCCAGGGTTCGGCCAAGCCGCTTGAGACGGGCACGCTATGCAGCACAAAGCTGGTCTCGACATCTGCAGCGTGCTTGCGCAGTGCTACGCAGCCAGCCTGCTTTCATGTTCTCCTAGAAATCGCGCCGTGCCGCTCGACTCGGCTTGTAGCCTAGGTTGGCTCCCTTTGTCGAAGTCTGTATTGACATGTCGTTCATTTGTTAGTCTCCGTGCGTGTGTGTGTGTGTGTGTGTGTGTGTGTGTGTGTGTGTGTGTGTGTGTGTGTGTGTGTGTGTGTGTGTGTGTGAACCTCCCTAGCACATGGGAGCAGAGGGTCACTCCTACACTGTTTGCAATTTTTGCTTTGCAACTCAATCAGACATTTGACATTTACAGAATCAAATGTTGCAGGGGGCCAGCGCATGGTGTTGTGACGCTGGCCAACGAAGCTAGCAACACCATGGGAAGAGGTTTGGGACGCCAAACCTTGTACCTGCACAAAATTGAGCTGGGGCCCCTGTGCCAGCCCGATTAGAAGGCCCCTGTGCCAAGATTAGAGAGTTTTCAGTTGCCACTTTTGACGGTTGATTCGACAACAAACAAGTTGTACGGTTGCCACAATCTGACAAGCTTTTGCAACATGAACAACATGCCTCTCTTTTTCCTCTTGCACTCGTACTCTTGGCCGAATCCATCAGTGTGATCAGCGTGGGTCTATGAGACTCCAGAGCAACGGCTTTCCGTCATGGCGCCGTGGTGACCCTCCGGGGAGACCGGTGATGAACCGGGTGTTCAGCCTTCGTTCAGATCGTTCAGATTCTCCAGATGCTACTTTATCTCTCTCTCTCTGATGCTCGCATGTGAGTCTGACATGAGTGCAGGTGCAGTAAGGGACGGCTAATGCGGTAAAGTGCGTCTAGTGAGCAGGTGCTACCCTCTATTCTATTCTGCCCCGTATTTTTTCACTTCTTTATTCCTCAGGGACTGCAAGGGCATGTGCATCTGACATGAGTGCAGACGTGGTAAAGATGTCTACAGCAAGTGAAGCAGCGCTCTCTCCGGAGAGTACTCGGCCCTCCACCTTCCTTCTCTCCGTCTACGACCTCTCAAATCAGTCCAGCAGGGACAATCAGGACAGCCTGCACTTTGCTTGTGCAACTGTGTGTGTTTCACCCGCTTCGTTGCAGCTATGTGGCCGGATTATTTTGCCGCGCAGCCACCAGCAACACCATATGCACCAACAGCCCGACCGGTGCTTAATCAATTTCACCAGAACACCTGGGTACCGCAGTCTCAAAGCTACCCAGCAATGATGCCAACCGGCATTGCTGCCACTCAGCAGCCCACACTGCCGACACAACCCACTACGATTCCTCTTGAGCAAACACACGGCTTCCCCATGATGCCGTGTGGACACACCGCTCCTATTCCACAGCATCCGACGATCTACGCACATCTCAGCACACCACAACCCCAGATGCCACAACAACCTCCACCCCAGCAATTCATGTCACAACAACCCACACCGCTCATGAATCCTGCTCTTTTGCCTACCCATCCAACAGCTTTTCCCATGAGCCCCTCTGCTTCGACACAGCATCAGGCCCAACCTACCACATTCAACCTTCCTTTTGCACCACCTGCCCCACAACCACAACTTGCACCTTGCAACATCCCTCCCACACAACCCATTCAACA